CTCTGTGTGTCGGCAGCCTGTATTTCATCTTATCCACATGTCCCCAGCACATCAGAGACTAGCTCATGTGAGCCTCTTACGATATAATTTGCTGTTATTCACATACTCCTTACCTGTCTATCTCTTTCTTAGGAAGCAATAATAAAAATCAATATTACCATTATTTCTGGAAAGAGTGTGACAATCTACTACCCTATGGCAGCTAGGTAGAGCAGTGGCCTGGAGTCAGGAAGACCTGAGTTTGAATCTAGCCTCAGATATTTATTAGCTGGGTGACCCAGAGCAAAATATCTTTTCCACTGTCTGCCTCAGTTTCCTCAGTTGTAAAATTGGGATAATAATAGCACTTACCTCTCAGAATTGTTGTGAGGATCAAATGAGATCGTATCGTACTCTTACCACAGTGTGTGGCACATAATAAATGCTTGTTTCCTTCCCTTTTCTTTCCTTCCTTCCTCCGTGGTTCTGCCCAAACCAAAGTTTCTTTCACTTTCACTCCCCAATATGTGTTGTATTCCCCTGGTAGAATTTAAGCTCCTTGAAGGCAGAGGCACTTTCAGTTTTTAATTTGTCTTCCTAGTGGCTACCATAGTTCCTTGCACACAGTAGATACTAAGTAAATTCTTATTAATTAAATGATCTAGGGATTTTAAGGAGTCAAAGTGCATTGTAACATTTGATGTCTTACTTGGGACATCTTTTCCCTATGGCCTCTCGTAACTGAGGGTAGATGATAATTACCTTTAGCATTTAGGTCACCTTTAGATCACTTAATAATAACTTTTTTTCTGTTTCTTGCCCAAGACACTCCTTCTCCTGGCTCCATACATTTTCACCGGCTGTTCCTATGCTTAGAATTCTCCTCCCTCACATGTCCCTCTCCTGGCTTACTTGGCTACCTTTATGTCCCAGCTAAAATCCCACCATCTATAAGAAGTCTTTCCCTTAATGCTAGTGACTTCTTTCTGTTGATTACCTCCAGTTTATCATGTATGTATCTTGTTTGTGCATTGCATTTTATCTCCCTCATTAGACTGGGAACTCCTTGAGAACAGGGAGTATTTTCTCACCTTTATTTGTATCCCCAACACTTAGCCTAGTGCCTTGCTTAGAAAGTGATTAATAAATGCTTGTCAACTTGCCTCAGTGGCATAATTTGCAATTACGCAGCAACACACAACTAAATATAGGATGCCCCAAAAAGGCATGAGAACTCCATCTGATAGTTCACTGTGATACAAGCTTAAGTAGCAGTGGTTTTGCTTGAGTTACTCACAGAAATTAGTCTGGGGGGTGGAGAGAGGAGGTAAAATTATGATGTCTTTCCCACCAACTCAGCCAAGAAGGTTCAGAGAATAGGTTTTATTTAGCAGGGAGGTTTCCTTGGTTAACTCTCAGTAGCGTTGGCCGGGTCATTGGCAAGCTAGACTTGAACCTAAAAATGATCTGACCCCCTGCATCGGATGAACGTCAACCTCGAATCAAAATCCAACATTACCTTGAGGGGAAAGAGAGAAGAATTTGCCTCCATACGTTCCTAAAATAACAGCAATAGCTCCAACCTGTTGCCCAACAATGTTAAAACCAGTTTCAGGACATCTTCTTTCACCAGCTCAAACTTCCAGTCAAACTGGTTGCTCTTTGTCTGGCCTGGGGACCCTGATAGGACTAAAACAAGGGCAAAGAGGACCTTGGTGATAAGACTTTTCATCACTTAAAAAAAATCAGATCTGTTTTTTTCATCTATGAAGAATCTTTACCAATAGAGATCAGCCTTCTCAGTGATTTATAATCTTAGAGAATTGCCTAGGGCATTCAGAGTTTAAGTAATTTGTCCAAGGTCACTCAGCTAGCATATGTCAATGATAATAGCTGCACTTTAAGGTTTGCAAAGTACTTCACCAATATTATCTCATTTGATCTTCACAATAACCCATTTTATAGTGGGAGAAACTAAGGCAATCAGAAGTTAAGTGTCTCATCCAAAGTCATACAGCTAATAAGTGTCTAACACCAAATTTGAACTCAGGTCCTGGCTACTGGACTAGCCCTTTATCCATTGAGCCATCTAGCTGCCTCAGACATAGAGATCAAACCCAGGTCTTTTTGATTCTGAGGCCAACTCTTTATCCACTCTGCAACATTCACTTCTTTTGTCATCGTTTACTTAGGTCGGATAAGGGAGTATGAGTTAAATATTAAGCCTTGATTATTTTGATGTCAGTTGTGATTGTTGAGTCTTTTCAACCATGTCCAATTCTTCTGTTGTCATTGATACTGGGGTGGTTCTCCACTTCCTTCTCCAGCTCATTTTATAAATGAGGAAACTGAGGCAAACAGGGTGAAGAGTCACACAGCTAGTAAGTGTCTGAGGCCAGATTTGAACTCAGGAAGAGAAATCTTCCTGATTCCAAGCCCAGTGCTCTATCTACTTTGCCACTTAGCTGGTTTCCAGTAGAAAACCTGTATTTGGGAATATAGACTTTTACTTCACGGCAACCTCAGTTATATATTTGTATATTTTGCAGGACTAATGATAGGGCCCTTACACAGCTATGGTGGATCATCATTTATTCATTCATTCAGAGAAACCCAAGAGCATCTGGAATAACACTTGAAGCTAAGCATCTTTGTATACACTCTTGTGTTTACTGAGGGGGATTATACTGCCATTTCCAAATATGGGATGAGTAATCTCTTATGATTTTGTGTAAAAATCTACTACCTAGGGTATAGGAAAAAAAACTACCCCAAGAACAAATAAAGCTCTCTTGTACTAGTATTTCCTGTGTAGCAAGTATGGATTGCCCTATCAGGGCCAGATTACACTTCTTGGTTTCAGTCCAAGTGACCATAGAGAAGCTCTACAGGAGCCATTTTCTGGTATTACATGTCTGAGGGTCTGGTACTGCATGACATTGAAAAATCTTCTAATTGGCTTTGGAGCAGGAAGAGCTGATGACTCAGGGGTTGTGGAACTGGATCTGGATGGGTATACAGAAGGATGACCCACCCTTTTATTGCCCTCTTTTCCTTTGCAGCTGGAAGGAAGTAGGACTACTTAGGGGTGGTCCTAAGAGTTGAGTGGGGGAGGGAAGGCAGACAAGTCTTCCATCCGGTCATAGAGGGTGTGAATGCACAGCAATCTTTTTAAATTCATTCCTAATCTTAGGTGAATGAATGATCTGTGATTCTAGTGTCTAGGTCACTTTTGTGAATGCTGGAGATCCAGACATACTAACAGGTCTCCGTAGCAGTTGGAGTTGGATGGCAGCAGTAACAGTGACCACTAGAGCAGTAATAGTTGAAAAAAGTGGAAATAGCCATGGTTGGAGTATAAAAGGGCAAGCTGGGAGAGTAGTCCTGGAGAAGTTTGCTACATTAGAATATACAAGGACACTCTCAAGGTCTCTCTGAAGAACTTTGGAATTGGTTGTGTGACGTGGGAGACGCTGGCATAGGACCGCCCAGCGTAGTGTGCCCCCATCAGAGAAGGTGCAGTGCTGTGTAAGCAAAGCAATACTGAAGTTGCTCAAAAGAAATGTGAGATGCGCAGATTTAGAGAATCCACTCCAAATGTTCACATGGACTATTTGTGCCTGATCTGTGACAGAGCCTTCTGAGTTTAGATTGGTCTGGTCAGCCACTGACCCTGACATAGAGATGTCATTTTGATCCTCTTCCAACCAAAGGTCAATGAGCACACCTGAATATCCTGAGGTTTTAGTTAGTAAAATTGCTTTACACATCTCATTTGAACCCAAACAATGCCCTCATTTTACAAATGAAGAAACTTGGGCTCAGTGAGGGTAAATGAATTGCTCAAGGTCACCCAGGTGGCAGATGGCAGAGGTAAGATTCAAACTCAGCTCCTTCTACTCTAAATCCAACACCTCTTCTATGGCATCACATGACTAATTAGGAACTGGGCTTACCTTAGGGTGTATAGAGTAGATCCCATGTAGGCAAAAGAGCTTACAGGAACAAGAGACAGGAGATCAGGAATCTTATAATCGTGGCTCTGCTACCTACTTGTTACATCAACCTGGGCAAGTCACTTAACCTCCTAAAGCTCCAGATTACTCTTCTGAAAAAAATGACAAGACTGGACAAAATGATCCTAAGGTGTCTTCTTGCTTTCAAATACTGTGATTTGGGGCAGTTAGGTAGCACAGTGGATAGAGCACCGGCTCTGGATTCAGGAGGACCTGAGTTCAAATCTGGCCTCAGACACATAACACTAGCTGTGTGACCCTAGGCAAGTCACAACCCCATTGCCTAACACCCCCCCCAAAAAAAATACTGTGATTCTTGGTCATTACCTATATGGTATGATTTGAAGGGAACCGAAAAAATCCCAAAATATTTCTACCACATAGAATATCTGAAATGCCAAATATCTGAAATATCTGAAAATGCTGTTTTGGAATGGCTGGACCAGTTCACATTTCCACCAACATTGTGCCTGTCTTCCCGCAGTACCTCCAGCTTTGGCTTTTCTCACCTTTGCTAATTGTCTGGGTGGGAAGTCAAATCACAAAGTTGTTTTAATTTGCATTTTTCTTATCATGAGTGATCGGGATCAGTCTTTCATGTAGTTGTTAAAAGTTTACAGCTTCTCTTTCAAGAACTCTTTGTTCAGTTCTGTTGACTTGTACCTATTAGAGAATGGTTCTTAGTCTTGTATGTTTGTACTAATTCCTGACACTTCAGTTACCATTTAAATGAGAAGCCTGCTGTGATATGGTGCCCTCTAGTGATTTCTAAGCTTATAAAGATTGGCCTGAATTCAAGACCACATCAAAATTGTACTCATAAGGCCCCACCTATCTCTTTTAGGCCAGTCAGTATTTACCACATGACCTCCTATCTTGGTAGGAACAAAAACAATTTCTTAAAATAGAAAGCATTGATACCAAGAAAGCATCATATGACAAATGTACTCAAATACAGCAAATGCAATCATGTGTGTCCCTAAACCACCTTCTTCTTCTCCACCTTTGTTCCTGACTCCTGACCCATAAGTTGCTAGGGGGGCCACTAGTGTTTCCAAATACTGCCTTATCACACGACACTGTGAAACACAGAGAGCAGACAAGCTATGGGGTACTTGTCCAATAGACTAAAGATTTTGCACCTGAAATTTGGATCACTTTTATTGCTCACAAAGTTGAGGGATCTGGAACTTTTCCCCCTCTGCGTGTGGATGGGATGGAATGGATCTGCCCAGGGTCTGGGAAAATGTGACCACATCAAGTCCCAAGCCAGGCAAGAGGACAGATCTCCAATCCAAATCTGCACTGTAGCTGCTACTTCTACAACCCAAAGTATAAGTTTACAAGGTAAGCCTCAAGTGGGCAGCTAAGACTAAATGAAGCATGTTGTAGATTCTCCTGCAAGTTTCCAGGAACTTAAGGAGATGGTTCCCGAAGAAGAAGGAACTGGGGATCTCAGCTATACAGAAATTGGGTCAGAGAGAGAATGCTGTCATAGAGAGGGCACTGAGAGACAGACACAGAGAGGGGAGAGACTTTCCCCCCAGGGGGCATCCAGAGGGCTGTAGTGGACTTACTCTTCCATTGGCTGTGAAGGCCACAGCTGAGGGCATCTCCTCTCTTCTCCTCTTCCCTCCCTTTGTCTGCCCACATGGAGATTTCTATCTTTTCATGCAGATTTTTTCACGGTGCAATGCTGCTTTTTAGTCAAGTTTGATTTGTTTAGATATAGTGTTCAGGGAGAGGGAGGAAAAAGAGAAAGAGACAGTGAGGTTTGTTTTTTTTTTAATTCTGCCTTTTTCTGGTCTGGACCATCAAGAATGAGGACAAAGACTGACTGCTCTACATGGACAGTTGTTGTTCAGTCGTTTCTTGGCAAAGATACTGAAGTGGGTTGCATGTCCTCTCCAGCTCATTTTACAAATGAGGAAAGTGAGGCAAACAGGGTGAAATGACTTGCCCAGCATCACACAGCTAGTAACTGTCTGAGATCAGATTTGAACTCAGGAAAGTTGAGTGTTCCTGACATCAGGCCTAGCACTCCACTCACTGAGCCATCTAGCTATCCTGCTAGATGCGCTTAGGGGCTCTACATACACATACCAGGGCTCCTCCGGGGCTATTACCTTCCTCCTAATCTTATCTTCCTAGTATCCTTTTAGAAAACTCCCACCTTCTGAATGTTTATTTATGGCTTCTGGGACTGGAAGACTTTGATTCCCAAGGCTCATGGGATCATCATAAAGGCCCAGAGGAGCTCTTTACAGTAACACTGTATTATTAATATACTTTTATTTTATTTTATTTTATTTCATTTTATTTATTTATTTATTTATTTGCTTACTTACTTACTTATTGGTTAGGCAGTGGGGTTAAGTGACTTGCCCAGGGTCACACAGCTAGTAAGTGTTATGTGTCTGAGGCCGGATTTGAACTCAGGTCCTCCTGAATCCAGAGCCAGTGCTCTATCCACTGTGCCACCTAGCTGCCACCTAGCTGCCCCCTATCAATATACTTTTAAAAGATATCCTTCAATTAGAAGGAAAGCAGGAAAGCAGGGAGTAAATTTTATAGCAATTTCTCTGATAAAGGCTTCATTTCTCAAATCTATAAGTACCCAAGTCAAATTTATAAAAATATGAGTCACTTCCCAATTGATAAATGGTCAAAGTAATGGGGTACTGGCCCAAGCCGAGACCTTTGCTCCTCACCCCAAAAAGAATTTGGGTCTCATATGTCTATGGGCCCCAGAAAACCCTCAAACTTTCCTTGAACTCACTTACAGAGTCAAGGAAGTCTCAAATGGTTGTCTGAGGCTATAATATTGCTCAACTGGCCTTTCCTGGTAGCCTAAACCCAATCTCCCAATTCTTTGTTACCCTAATTAAGCCTAGCCCTCCATTGTCCCAGTCACTCCCATCCAGATCCTTCCTAGACCCTCCAGTCACCGTAGCTTATTGCCACTCCCATCAAGACACCCCTTCTCCCAGCCCCTCCTCCAGTGACCCCAAACTACTTGGCCACTCCTAGATTCCTCCCATAGTCTTTCTGTATATAAGATTCATCCTGGCCAGCATTTAGGGGCTGATTTCCTCATGTACTCTTGTAAGGACTCCTTAAGCGTTTGGCCAATATGGCTGATCTTTAATAAACCTTGGCTGAAAGAAGGCTTGGGTCAAATTCTTTTGGACAGGACCCTCGTGTTGTGATTTTGAGGTCCTAGCACCCCTAGCATCTAAACCTCAACAAAAGGATTTGACCAGGCAGTTTTCAGAAAAAATCAAAGCTATCCATAGTCATAAGAAAAAAATGCTCTGAATCAGTATTGATTAGAGAAATGCAAATCAAAACGACTCTGAGGTACCACTTCACACCTATCAGTTTGGCTACCATGACAGAAAAGGGAAATGATAAATGTTGGAATGAATGTGGGAAAATTGGGACACTAAGGCACTGTTGGTGGAGTTGTAAACTAGTCCATCCATTCTGGAGAGCAATTTGGAACTATGCCCATAGAGCTATAAAATTGTACATACTCTTTGACCTAGCAACACCACTATTAGGTCCATATCCTAAAGATATCTAAGAAAAAGGAAAAGGATTATATGTACAAAAATATTTGTAGCAGCTCTTTTTGTAGTGGCAAAGAATTGGAAATTGAGGGTTTGCCTATCAATTGGTGAATGGCTGAACAAGTAGTAGTATATGATTGTGATGGGATACTATTGTGCTATAAGAAATTATGAGAGGGGGTGGTTTCAGAAAAACCTGAAAAGACTTACATGAACTGATGCTGAATGAAGTGAGCAGAAGCAGGAAAACATTGTACACAGTAACAGCAATACTGCACTGTGAGTGATTTAGTTATTCTGATCAATGCAATGATCCAAGACAATTCTGAAGAACTTTTGATGAAAAATGCTATCTACCTCGAGGGAGAGAACTGATGGAATCTGAGTGCAGATTGAAGCATATTTTTTCATTTTCTTTATATTTCTTGCTTTTGTTTTGCAATATGGATAATATAGAAATATGTTTTGCATGATTTCACATGTACGACTGATATCTCATTTCTTGCCTTTTCAAAGGGTAGGGGAGAGAATTCATAAATCAAATTTTTTAAAAAGAATGTTAAAAATAAATTTCTTTTTAAAAAAAAAACCCACATACTTCAGAAATTTCATAAAACATGAAGCGAAGGGAAATTTACTTAGTGTTAAAGGAAAGATGATCAGTTGTCCATCAGAAGAGCCAACAACTGCAGGGGAAAACACTAACCACATAGTATATATGTTTTCACTTTAAAGCAGAGCATCTAAGAAGGCCAGAAGAACAGGAATATAATTTTTCCTAATAAGTATTCAGAGGACTACAATTCCTGGAAGACGATACTTGTTATAGGGATAAAACCTGGACCTTTGATTTCACTAGTATGGGAGATTCTCAAAGGGAAACAACTCCTTTTTTCAATGCAGAGGTCTGCACCCTCTCACCTTAGAGAACTGCCCGGGATATTGAAAGGCTGAGATTTGCCCAAGATAACACAGTTCTATAATAGACGGGAGAGGCAGGAGTCAAATCCAAGTTTGCCTGGCTCTAAGAGTATCTCTCTAGCCATTACACCATACTGCCACTTGTACAAACTATACCTATTTTTTCTTTTTGAATACTGATAATAAAACCTAATACTTAGAGGTCAGTAGAAGGCAATCTGCTCTTTGTGGCTGAGGAGAAAGGCATGTAGGCTATAAAATGAAGGATTCAGAACCTGTCCCACCAGATAAGGTTTGGGTAAAAACCACCTGCTCGGGGAAACTACCGTTGCTCAATTAGTGACTTGGCTCCTCTTTGGGAGGGATCTTCTGGATCCACATGGTAGAACCTACCCTATGGTCACACCATATTTTTGGCCCCAGGTCAGAGCTTTGACCGCAGAGGTTCCCTCCAGTCTGCTCTTTTTTTTATAGATGGAACCCAGAGAGGGGAAGTAATTTTCTCAAGGTTACACAGTTAAGTTAAACAGTCAGGATCTGAACCAAGGTCCTCCAGGTCCACTGTTATTAGTACTCATTCTAAATGGGCCACCTTATTCACCAGCCTTGGCTCATTCTGGCCTTTGACTACTTCCCCAAAACACAAAAAGATTTTGTGGTTGTGGTCAGTTGTGTCTGACTCTGTGTGACCCCATTTGGGGTTTTCTCGGCAAAGACATTGGAATGGTTTGCCATTTTCTTCTCCAGCTCATTTTACAGATATGGAAACTGAAGCAAACAGGGTGAAGTGACTTGGCCAAGGTCACACAGCTAGTAAGTGTTTGAGGTCAGATTTGAACTCAGGAAGATGAATTCTTCCTGACTCCAGGCCCAGTGCTCTATCCACTGCGCCACCTAGCTGCCCCAAAGGATAATAGTTAATATTCATTCAGCACAGACTATGCCTGGTACCGTATTAAATACTTATGATTTTTACCTCTTTTGATCCTCACAACAACCTGAGAAGTAGATGCTATTATTATCACAACACCACCCCCCATTTTACAGATAAGGAAACTGAAGCAAGCAGAGATTGTGACTTGCTCATGCCACAAAACCAGGTCTGAGGCAGAATTTGAACTCAGATCTTTCTGACACCAGGCCGCACACTCTACCCACTGCACCACCACTAAGGCTGTTCTAAAGAAGGCGATTGTTAGGGGCAGTTAGGTGTCACAGTGGATACAGTGCTGGCCTTGGACTCAGGAGGACCTGAGTTCAAATCCAGCCTCTGACGCTTGACACTTACTAGCTGTATGACCCTGGATGAGTCACTTAACCCCAATTACCATTTTAAAAAATGCTGGTTTCCTTCCTTTCATCCTCTCAAATGATCTTATACTTATATATCTGTACACATGATGTATCCTCCAGTCAAATGGAACTTTTTTAGAAAAGGGGCAATTTGTCTTGTCTATCTTTTATTCCCAACACATAACACAGTGCCTTGTACATTGTAGGCAATTTATAAATGCTCAATAATTAAAGTGAATTATCCTTTTGGAGCCTCCGTTTCCTCATCTATAAAAGGAGGAAATAATAATACTCACTCTATCAACCTCAGTGAATACTTGGAGGAAAGTGTTTTGTGAATTGTAAAGTGTTAGGTAAAGGTAAATTATTTCTTTATAACATAATGTGAATTAGAGGAAGGGCCATTGCAATATTCCATGCAAAGAAGGGATAAAAGCTAGAATTAGGGTGATGGCAGTGGGTGATGGTGGTGGGTTTGGGAAGGAACAGATGGATGCAAAAGATATGACAGAAGTGGAATCTGGGGTAGCTAGGTGGCGCAGTGAATAGAGTACTGGTCCT